AATGGTTTTCAATCAACCGTGACGATGACGTTAACGCGAAACAGAGTCATGTTACGAGCGGGTTATTCGTCCTGCCATCTCTTAAATTGCAATCCTACTACCACAAAAACCGCCTTTTATACAGTAGACTATTCTAGTCATTACATTCACACAAAAAATAAAAGAAAACAATTCTGCATTTTTGTTTTTTCAGCAAGTCAACTTACTGGTGTGTTCCTCTCACTCGCGCATGCGCGCGTTGCATGACTAATTTTTTGGTGTGGTTACCGATGCCCAATATAACCAGGGTTTAAAAGAAAATCACTCTGATGAATTCCATGCAAAGGAGGAATAACGCTCATGACAGATGTGCAGGGAGACATTGAAGATAATGAGTGTTTTCGATTTTCACTTTTGGGGGGGTATCGTCATATGAGCATCAATAGCTAAAGAATTATTAGACAAACTCAATTGAAATTTTTGTTATATCTTTTTGAAAGATGATTTTAAAAGTTAGATAGGAGTACTGAAAAAAATTGAAAGAAAAATTAATTTAATTCACCTCAAAAGTTTACCCTGCGTTTCTTTTTCCTTTCAGTATATATACTTGGATCATTGGCATAAATTTCGCAATTTTGGAAAAGGCACTCTTGCTCATCATAAATATGTGCTCAGTTAGTTTATTTAATACCCAGGAGCAGAGAAGAAGATTTTCAAAGAATAAATGCATTTTCACTATATAATCTATAGAGCCCCGCCCTAACACCAGAACCCCTGACCCTGGGGCCATAAAATTCACAAATCTGGAAGAGGCACTCTTGCTCATCATAACTATGTACTTAGTTAGTTAATTTAATACCCAGGAGCAGAGAAGAAGATTTTCAAAGAATAAATGCAATTTCACTATATAATCTATAGAGCCCCGCCCTAACACCAGAACCCCTGACCCTGGGGCCATAAAATTCACAAATCTGGAAGAGGCACTCTTGCTCATCATAACTATGTACTTAGTTAGTTAATTTAATACCCAGTAGCAGAGAAGAAGATTTTCAAAGAATAAATGCAATTTCACTATATAATCTATAGAGCCCCGCCTTAACACCAGAACCCCTGACCCTGGGGCCATAAAATTCACAAATCTGGAAGAGGCACTCTTGCTCATCATAACTATGTACTTAGTTAGTTTATTTAATACCCAGAAGCAGATAAGAAGATTTTCAAAGAATAAATGCATTTTCACTATTATCTATAGAGCCCCGCCCTAACACCAGAACCCCTGACCCTGGGGCACTAAAATTCACAAATCTGGAAGAGGCACTCTTGCTTATCATAACCATGTACTTAGTTAGTTTATTTAATACCCAGAAGCAGAGAAGAAGATTTTCAAAGAATAAATGCATTTTCACTATATAATCTATAGAGCCCCACCCTAACACCAGAACCCCTGACCCTGGGGCCATAAAATTCACAAATCTGGAAGAGGCACTCTTGCTCATCATAACTATGTACTTAGTTAGTTTATTTAATACCCAGAAGCAGAGAAGAAGATTTTCAAAGAATAAATGCATTTTCACTATACTGTATAATCTATAGAGCCCCACCCTAACACCAGAACCCCTGACCCTGGGGCCATAAAATTCACAAATCTGGAAGAGGCACTCTTGCTAATCATAACTATGTACTTAGATAGTTTATTTAATACCCAGGAGCAGAGAAGAAGATTTTCAAAGAAATAATGCATTTTCACTATACAATCTATAGAGCCCCGCCCTAGCACTAGAACCCCTGACCCTGGGGCCATGAATTTCACAATTTTGGTAGAGGACTCAATGCTTATTACATTCATGCTAACAGTTTGCCTGCTCGATGTCCATGAGTAAAGAAGAAGATTTTTAAAGATTGCAATAATTTTAGTGGTTTTGGCCCCACCCCTTAGGCCCCAGGGGGGCGGGGACCATGAAATTCACAATTTTTGTTCTCCTTCACCCATAGATGCTGTATACCAAATTTGGTTGAAATTGGTTCAGTGGTTTCAGAAAAGAAGCTGAAAATGTTCAAATGTTAACACACGACACACGACGCACGACGCACGACGACGGACGAAAACGGATAGCAATAGGTCACCTGAGTTACTCAGGTGACCTAAAAACTAAATCAGTAATGTAAAGTTGTACACATGTACTAGATCATGTTTCAGTGTGTGTATTTCGTATTATTCAGCCAATTTGTGTTGCTTTTGAACTTTAATGCTTTTGACAATCACTCGCTAGTTCAAAGTAAAATCAAAGTTGCCAAAATAATGGTCAATTGTCTCCTTTTCTACAACTCTGGCAGTCATGCAGGTATGCAGTCTATGAAAGGGACATATTTTTTTTTTAAATATATAAAAGTGAACCGAGTTCTCGATTTATATAATCCGTTCTCTCGGATTGACAATCTGTCATGACATATTGCCAATTCGTTCTCACATATTTTCAATTCGTTCCCTCAAATAACACAATCCATTATCTCAGATTGTAAAAGAGGGTTTACTACAAGGTTTATGACTTAACAATATCATTTATCTACTTGAATCACATAATAAATACAATTTAAATTTTAAAAGGAAAATCAAATAAATGTAGTAATTTTAGCATTCTTAATTTTATATATTTAAATGTAAATTCATGTACACATGTATCTGTTTCAAAATATCTATATCTTTTACAGGATAGAAGCTGGACTAGCGATTAAAACGATCTCTATTTATTACTAAATTAAAGATGTTTTTTTTTGCAATTTTACAAATGCTTAAATTTGAATTAATGATAAGAAGTCTTAATATTAAAAGGAATATTCCATATACATGTACGTTTTTTTTTCAGAGAGAGCTAGCCTCTGGAACAATAGAGTGCATGATTCAGCAGTTGATTCAAATATTTGATGAGAAGGGTTTTGGAAGATATTGGGATGTATTTTTGTCGAAGGTTAGGGCAATATCATTGTTTCTTGATAGGGAATTGAAACGTGATGATCTTCTTTTGTTTAGAGACCAGGCTTGGTTAAAACTTCAGTTTTTGACTGGTGATAGAGCTAGTAATCTTTTCTTGGTTGTTGCACAGGAGGTTAAGTGTGTAACTGATGGGTCAAGGTAAGTGTTCAAACATACATTTGGTAGGACTCTTAGAGGTGATAAAAGTAAAAGCAATCTACTGATCTTGTAGTTTGTCCAGGGAAGGGTTTACTAGATTTTGTTAGGTTTGCAAAGTCGTATAATGTTGATTTTTCCAAGGGAATCTTGTTCAGAACATTTGCAGACTTTTGGATAAGAATGTCAGTTACTCAGTGGTGTATGAGAGGTTGAGATAATATTTGTCAACATTAGGAATTTATGAAGGGGAAAAGCCTCATAGTTTTCGATCAGGATGTGCTATTACTATGGCATTGTCAGGTTCAGTAGAGAATGTAAAGCAAGGTATGAATCACGTGGGATGGTTTTGAAAGTCAAGCGCAGAGTATTATTGTAGAATGTCAACACTTGTAGATTCTGGAGTGGTTGCATCAAAGTTGGCAGAATCTTTGCATCAGGCAGATATGGTTGAGAGAGAGTATAAAGATAAGGCAGACTATTCAGGTTTAAACAAGAGGTCCACGGGTCTTATAGGTCACCTGAGGATCATGTAACAACTTCTGTACCTAGTTAGTCTATTTAATACACAGGAACAGAGAAGATTTTCAAAGAATTATGCATTTTCATTATAAAATCAAGAGGGCCCCACCCTAACACCAGAACCCCTGACCTTGGGGCCATAAAATTCACAAATCTGAAAGAGGCACCCCTGCTCATCATAACAATGTACTTACGTAGTTTGTTCAATATCCAGGAGCAGAGAAGATTTTCAAAGAATTAATGCATTTTCACTATATAATCAATAGAGCTCCAACCTAGCACTAGAACCCATGACGCTGGGGCCATGAATTTCACAATTTTGGTTGAGGACTCAATGCTTATTACATTTTAGTACTTAAAAATGGGCAACTTAATTCAAGTTTTTGTTTGTCTGTTTTGGAAGGCAGGGCAGCAGATGCGATATCAAAAGCTCTTGCAAAGTGCTTGAAAGAGAAATCAGAGTCTAAGAATGAGTCCAAGAGAGTTGTGAAGAAAGAGGGTGATAGTTTTATCCTCCTCTGTTCCTTCTTCGTTTTCTTCTTCCTTAGTATCCTCAGTGGGCTCCGCACCGCTTACATATCTCTCCTCCTGGTATCGTCCTCCTCCATCATTTTCACAATCATCTTCATCTATAGGGTAAGTTGCGACGCCACAGGAGCAAAGACATGCTCCGAATGTAATGAAACTTTCACAATGATACATTGCAAGGTTTTACGATGCAATCAGATTTTTCTTATTCTCCCATTTATCATACCTCCGATTCTCAGCGGATTCAATTTTGTTAAAAAGAATCATATTGACCTTGGGTCAACGCAATTAAAATCCTCAAAAGACAAAGTGGTGTTTTCAATTATAAGACCGGTGGATACATCCATTACCTTTGATGTCGATTAACCAAACGGGTTGACATTAGTAAATTACAGGTCACAATAAGGGTACATAAGTATAAGTGAAAATCAAAGGCCTGAAGGGCCATAATGGCTTACGAACTTGATATAGATGTAAAGCGTAAGGGAATGTAATAATATAGTGATATTGAGATTGTGTGCTATTTTGACTGAATGAATATTCATTGAAGTGTTAATTGACTTCATTATCGTATGTTTAGTATTCAGAACAAAATAATAGTCAGTTCACTGATGCGGTGATTGTGAAATTCAATTTTCACTTCAAGAATTAGAAATACCAAGGTACAATTCGTAATATAGCAATATAAAAACATGTTATAACCCTCAGGTGCTTTGAAGCACTTCACCTGTATTTTGATTTCAATAAATTATTATTTAAGCAAGAACAGGGTACAGTTTCAATACAAATGAAGTATTTTTCTAAAATGTGAAAATGATAAGAAATTTAATTCATTCTTCCTGATTTATAAGACCTCCATACAGTAAGAATACAGGAATCATTTGGTCTTTCTTCATACCATATTCTTTTAATATTCTACTTTCATGTAAATTACCCGTACTTGAATCTGATTCGTATAATATAATAAATATTACATGTAATTGAGTGTAACTACATGTAATTGAGTGTAACATTGAAAATGTTCACTCCTCAGAAACCATGGTCAGTTTCTTTTGCGCCTTAGTTGACAATGCTTTTCATGGGCTGAAAATTTTCAATGTGAAACTCAATTACATGCAATATATAAAATAATTTAATATATTTAAAAATACTTATTTAGTTGACTATTTGTAAAGCCAACTTCACAACTTTTTAAGAACGTTTAATTTTTAGGGCACAATTAAGCCCAAATTATACATTCTTACTGCTTTTCGTAATAAGTATTGAAATATTCCTTTAATTAACCTTGAAATTTTTAGATGAGTAAAGAAACACTTTGGCTTTGCTCCTATTTCAGCATGTTCAGATATAGAAAACATGACTTCAGTGTAAAAAGTTTTATTAAGCACTAAAATACAAAAGTCAGATAATTCACAAACATTTCTTAAGTTTCAGAACAAAATACTGCAAAACGATAAAAACTTGTATGGAGATAAAATGTTACAAATAAGCAGGTTTAAAAGTATAATGTATATCTTGAGTATACAGTAAACTATATATATATCAAGATCTGGTGGCATCATGTAATACAGTAACTGTTTAGCACCTGAGATGAGTTTGGCATTCAGCATATACCTGGTATGTGTAAAAAATGTAAAATTAAGTAAAAAGGGCATACAAAATACCAGGAAGTACAGACATTAAAAATAAAAAAAAAAAAAAAACAAACAAACAAACAAAAAAAAACACATACAAAGAACAAAAAAAGAAAGTAAAAATGCAGCAAATTAATACACGAAAGTTATATCACTAGCATTAAAACAATCCGCAATGGCTTGGTCGTGCATGAAATAAAGATGATTAAGGCTGTTTTTAAAATATTTCACATAATCACTATTCATGCTGGTGTGCAACTACAAATCAATACTACAACTACAATGTACATGTACATATAAAACTGAACATTCTGCTACATAGAATTCTTTCACAAAGAATGACACAATGTACTGTGTCTGAGTATTTCAGCAAATTAAGTAGAATCAGAAACACTGCTTAATATGTGCATTTTTAACAAAAAATAGATCATTTTGAAGAAATCTACAAATAGCAGGAAAAACTATCCAGAAAAGGAAAAAAAAATAGAGGAATAACACAAAAGTGACTTAAAGCTAAGAGTCGTCCAACTTCAAGACATAAAACACAATAACAAGAAATCAAGATACTAACTAGACACACATAATGAACATTCCAAATAAAGCACAAAATGAAATCAGTTTGTATCAATAAGCAGGCCTGTTTACAAACAAAAAAAAACAAAAAAAAAAAACAAGAAAAACAAGAAAACAAAAAAAAAAATAAAATACAGGGGATTCAACTGCTTAATAAAAAAAATATGTGTAACCGCACAAGGATGTGCAATTAAAGCAACATTCAAAATTTCAATTTTGAAATTGTTTTTTTTTTTTTTTCCTCACATATTTCTTTCAAAACATACAAAGAAAACAATTTCAAAGTATGTCAGGCATCCATGTAAAAACAAGAAGCTAATCATTAACTAGCATACATGGCATGTGCATTTGAGAAAAGAAATTACAAATTGCAGTCATCTTAAATGTTGGAAAACTAATCAGAAAATGGAAATCCAATCAAAAACAAAAGTAGCCATCAAACTACTGAAGTACAAAATGTCATATTATTTCAATAACTATATACATCTGTACAAGTAAGAAATAAATGCAAACAAAATAATGAACTAAACCAGTACTGAGTAATCCAAAAATCAGCCAAGAAGTTTAAAATGAGCTGAAATCATTAAATCATAAAAAGAAACCCATTTAATCAATGAATGAAATACATGTCCAATGGTGAAAAAATGTTTCCCTGCAATCCAATCCAATGATACTACAAAGTTTGATGTCCATTTGAAGATTTTGCTTATCTTTCAAAAAATCTAAAATTACATACAGGACACAAGGAAAGAAATCAGGAGAAATCAACATTTAAATAATAGATGATTTTAAAAAAAGTTGTACAGAATTCATAAATTGGATTTAATTAACAAAAAAAAAAATGAAGCACAAGTGCAATACAAAACTTTAGAGCCATCCGTAAGAAATAATGTTGCAATCAGTAATTCACAGCAAATGCTTACTGATCAAAAGTTTAAATTGTCATGGTCAGAATTTTGTTTTCTTTGACAGTAATTGCTGCAGACACGGGCAATTTCTTCATCAAGTTGTTCTCCATGTCTCTTGTTTCGCACTTCAGAGCACTAGACAGGGAGGCCTTCTTAACTAGATATTCTGGGTATTCCCCATCCTCCTCTGCTGTGAGTTTGATAGTCTGGCCATCTTCCTCTTCATATGCGATGAACTGAAGGGTCTTGCACACTTCTGGAACAGTTACTTCCTAAAAAAAAAATGAAAAATACATTACATTATTCAGTACTGTCCTAAAAAGATAAGAAAGATTTTTTTTTCAACAAAAGAGCATTATGAGGTGTCCAAAAACCGTAGTCAGAATATTGTTTAACACTCATTAAATCAGAGCAAGGTTTACCTCAATTTTTGTCCTTACAGTAGACGATACAGATTTCTCATCATTGTACAGCTGTACAACAACATCAGATATAATTATGTGACTTCCAACAGAGGTCTTCGTCTTTGTTAAGTCACGCCATAATGACACCTTGCATGTTCCTGTGATGTCTTTCACTTTTATAGTCCTCACACTCGTCTCCTCACCATTGACACGGACTGACCTTTGCATCTCCTCCTGTTAAAGAAACATGTAATAATTAATCTTATGATCCTAATAATTTGGTTTCTAATGCATTATTTAATACAGTGTTGTGGCATTGAAGATCATACAAAAAAAATTGCTTTGTCATGTTCTACATATATTTATGGATTTTTTTTGGAGTCGTCTACTAAAATTATGAATAATATAGAACTTTACTAATATGTAAGGAAACTAAAATCTATGTTAAAAAATACTCACTGAAACAACTTGTCCCCTGAGGGTTACAAGGGTTTTTGTTGGTGAACTTTGGGCAGTCTTTATGCTCACCTCCGCAGCAGGAGGTGGAAATGCAATTTCCTTCCCCTGTGTTACCAGGGATTCTGGAACATCCAGAGGTCCAGTTTTTAAGACTTTGCTCCTGTTTGTAATCACCAAAGACCTGACAGTTTCATTTTTAATTATAACATTGAGCAACATAACTGTGTGTCCAAGTTTTACCACGTCAAGTTTGCTGCTGTCGTAGAGTACCCCTTTGACAGCCATTGTTCTGTCCGCAAATCCTATAACTGTTGATTGGCGCTGCTCACCATTTGCATTCCTGTAAGCAATAACTGGGCCAACTCCACAAACTTTTACTTTCAATGCTCCAGAGTACGGAGTGCTGGACAAAGTGCTATCACGAAAGGCCTCCTCTAAAGTCTTCATCTAGAAATGGAAGCAAAATTTGTTGTCACTAATGCATCCTTATTTCTTTTTATCATTTTATCTGCTATTTAAAGCAATAAACACAGGTTTATGATCTGAATAGTATGATTCCAGTACACCACTTCTAAATATTAAATCATTGTCAATGTTTGTGTAAACATGATCTAAAATAGTGTCATAATTAGTTGTAGATTTACTAATCAATTGAGAAAGAGAGTATTTAGAGTACAGAAAAGAAGGCAAAACTTGAACTTGACTGAAATCCAAGTTAAAATCTCCCATAAGTATGTGAGGTTTCTTTAAATTGTAAACTGTGTCTAAATGAGCAAAGAATTTCTTATACAATTTTAAAGTAGCAAGTTTAGGGGAACAGTACAAGAAACACACATGAATAAGCAGATTTGAATGCGATATAAATCCATGAGTCAATTCAACACCAAAGATGTTTGCCCCAACAAAAGAATTTAAGACACCTTTCGTGTATACTGCTAAACCATGATATGCTCTGTCACCACAGCAAGTGTCATCATTTCTTGACAATTGAAATCCTTCAAGATTTACAATGCTAGACTGGTTTTGAGTTTTGAGACAGGTCTCTCCAAAGGCTAGGATATTTGCAGCCAACATGTTTGCATCTGCACGCACATCAGTTATATGCTTTTTCAATGACCTACAGTTTTGAAATACAATTTTGAAAACATTTTCCGGAATGTTGTAAAGCAAAGGTACTGATATATGAACCTGAGATGATGTTCGCAATCTATTCATTTCTTCCACAACAGCATCAGACACTCTAATACAGTCTGGATCAAAATTTAGCAAGAATAAAGAAGATAAACATTTAACACGACTCAAAGCAACATAATACAAGTGATCAATTTTTCTTTTGCCAAGTCCCAATACTGCACTTTCCAGTGTACAACCTTGTGCTTTGTGTACGGTCTTTGCTGCTGCAAGACTAAGAGGGAATTGACGACGAGTTACATGGAAAGATTTATAGTAACTGATATTAAACTTTCTTGTTGTTTCTAAAATTGGAGTCCATGTTGAAGGAATAGCAGAAGAGAAGAGGTGCTTATATTGAGTCCTGCACTTTTTTCCAATATCCTCTGAACAAAATTTTACCCAAACAATACTACACCTTGAAGATTCATGTACACGAAAATCAAGTTTTGTTATTGTGCATGGTGTGCCATTAGCCAATCCATCTGATACATCAATATTAACACAAATTTCTGCAGGAAGACCTTCACCTATACATAAATATTTGTTCAATCCCTTTGTTTTTGTTGCATCTTCAGGAATTTTCGTAAGAATTTTTTCATGTAATGAACATGGTAAATCTCCAGATATACAGTCAATTGTTTCTACTATGGTTTTTTTAGATTCACATACATGCTGAAAAACACTCTTATTGTAATTCTGTACGTCACATCTGTGTGTAAATAAATGTGGCATATTGCGCGTTCTGTCATTTTCTTCTTCAAGAATTTGCATTTTGAAAGATGACATGTCTTCTTCTAGATGATTTCCTTCTCGAATTCTATTCAACATTTCAGCAAATCTTAAATCATCCTTCTGTCGCATTATTTGATCCAGTTCAAATAAAAGAAAATGATCAATCCATAAATTTGTACCTAATGATGCAATACTTTCAGTGTTACTATAAGCAAATATCCACTGATCAAAAACCGGTTTCAATTGATATAAATCACCAAATGATATAACTGAAACACCACCAAAAGGTTTAGTACAGCCCAATATTTCTTGCAGACGCAGATTTATGAAATTAAACATATTTTTCCCAACCATAGATATTTCATCAATGAAAATTATTTTAAGGAATTTGAATTTTGATTGAAAGTTGCTCAACTGCTGCATGTCAAGAGGTTTATAATGAAAACCTTGGTCTGCTGGAATATGAAAAGCTGAATGTACTGTACAACCTCCTACATTGAAAGCAGCTTTTCCAGTTGGTGCACAAATTAGAACATGAACATCATCTGGATTTTCCCCTGGCTGATGCGCAAAATGCTTCACCAGTGCTTGATATAAAGCTTTAAGTAACACACTCTTGCCAACACCTGCACCACCACTAAGAAAGTGATAAAGTGGATCTGTCTTAGTTTTCATCCAATTTAGTACATGATAGAAAAATTCTTTTTGTTTAACATTTAATTGTTGAACAAGATCTCTGTACTCCTCATCAGTCATTTCCCCTACAAGCTGCTCATCTTGGTTTTGTATTTGCTTCCTCCCAGTGTTTATATCTAATGCAAGGTCATACTCATTATTATCACAGCTAGTTCCTGGATTAAAACATCCATATTCTTTGCATACTCTTGATCCCCTTTCAGCATCACACTCATCTTGGTGTTGTAATTCAGAAATTATTGGATTTTCATCAGTTAGTGATGCTGTATACTCTAACTGAGATATATCAACAGTCTGCTCACAAACATAGTTTTTCCTTTTTCTCACAACTTCTTCCTGATTTTCAGCATATCTCTCTTCATAACTAGACCAATCCCCCAAAATGTCAGAATACTTTTTCCAAGGCAAATATAGCATTAACTGTTCACGAAAGTAGTTTTCATTGTCATTTTCTTTAGAGTAACCAACAGAGTAGAGCACTCTTGGGCGTAATCTTTTTACCATGACAGTGCCATCTTTAAAGACATGTTCTTCACATCCTGATGATTCCTCTAAATCTGAAGACTCTTGGTCATCATCAGAAGTAAAATCATCATACGTTTCTGGTAATTCTTCTGGAATATCTTTTTTTGGAAATTCTGGTCTTTTTTTCCCATACTGTACTGTATAAAGGGCTACAAAATCTGCCAAGCATAATTTACTCATTGAATGTGGTCGTCTCTGATAACGCTTAATAGTGCTGTCCATTTCAACAGATGTTGATGTTTTTGGTAGTTCTTTTAAAACAGTCATTGGTTTTGTCAAAGTTACCCTATTGGTTTCAGGATTTGTATCTACGAATACAACATCTCTAGAGGACCGTCTTAATGGCATTTGCAGCACTAGATAACATGCCTCTTGAGCCCCAACCTCAACATGATTCAAAAATGTATTACCTACTTTTCGTACCTGGTCTCGAATGTTGCTTGAAGAATTTTTGGCTTCCTTGCATGCACTACTAAGCAAGTTGGACATCCCTCTTTGACCTTTGGAAATATATGATACAATGTAAGCCGCACATGCATATGGATCAAGAATATATTGTATATCCATATTAGCTTCCCAGCACTTGAGTAGTATTTCATTGTAATTATTTACTCGAATTTCAGACAATGCTCTCTTCAAAAAAACTTTTTTTTGTCCTGGTTTAATACTTGATCTTAAGGCCAAAATGTACTTATTGTATGAGATCTTTAATGAACTCAAAAACTGTTCAAATGTTAAATCACAATTTTCCCCTGATTTTAACCTATCTAAAAATGAAGAAATTTGTTTGAAATTTTCTCTAGCATCACTAACATCTTCTGAATCATCATTTAAGCCCTCCAGAATCACTGTTTTATCAATAGGGGGAATTGGAAATCCAAAACGACAAACAGGCTGACCTTTTTTTCGACATGATCTAGGATGTCTATGAGTTTGATAATTTACTAGTGTAGGCAGTGATTGGTTTTTTTCGCAAGAAATATACCTGTCTATAAATGTTTCAATTCTGTCATAAGGATCATTAACAATAGATGGGGCTTCATCAATCCAAAGCAGCATGTGAACATGAGGGGAACCTCTCTGTTGGAATTCAACTCTAAAGAAAAAGTCTACAATTTTACCTATGGGAGAACTTTCATGCTTCAATACATTGTTTAAAAACATTAGGAATTTATGATCGAAATACCTAGCACAAGTTACAGGATCAGCTTTAATCAATTCACTTTTTTCAAACCAAGTCAGATGCTCTATTTCTGAATCTGTGAAAGTTTTGTTTCTGAGAAATTTCCCTAATGCTCTCAATAATGGTTTCCATTTTGTTTCTGCTGCAGAGAAAGAGCAAAACCATGTTGGAATGCCCAATTGTCTTATCATTGCATAAATATCCTTTTTCGTTCTTTCCCAGTATGGTGGTGAGCCACGAACTGTTCGCAAAACTCTAAAGCCCTCATCATGCTTGATGATATTTTCAATTAATCCTTCTGATAAAACTTCATTCACAGTGAGTTTTTTACCCTTCATTTTACATTTTCTTACAGCAAGGGACACTTTATCAGATATTTGCTTAATCTGCAGTTTTTTCAGTTTGAAAAAGATATTTGTCACATTTTGAGCTACTCTCCTATCAGAATTTCTTAATTCCCACTTACAAATCGTGCTAAAGTGAACAGGGGTAGATCGTGAATTATTGTTTTGACGGGTTTCACCACAATAAATAGCAGGGAAAGACAGGAATTCAGAATATATATCCTGAAACATCCCTAGTGGAGTGTTTCCTTCTGCTGGTGCAACACTCAAAATTCTATTGAATTCTCGAAAATCTGCAGGATGCATAACAGTATCAAGATTTCCTGACGACTTCAAAACCGACCCATCATCCTCTGACCATTCATCTTCAAATTCCTGTTCCCCTTGCTCACAATCTGAATTGCATAACCCTTCTTGAATTTCTTTCTCCTTTAATAAACTTTCATTATTTATTTCATTCCAATTTTCATTCAATTTTATACCTTCATTTTGAAACAATCTACTATTTTTTATTAACCATTTTGCTGCTGAAAGAATTTTTTCAGGTCTGACTTGTTCAAATACTATGTGGCTTTTAAAGTTGAGACCTCTTTTCAGTTTTATTGGGATTGTCTCACTAGCATTCATATTTCTTGGCAGTAGTTTAACTGTTTTGTTCACATCTGCTGGAACATTTACTACATTGCCATGCACAGATAACTGACCCCCTCTAGGCAATTCTTTGATCTGCATGAATGGGATTCTTGGCGAGATTAATCTTTCTTCTAACTTTGTCAGTCCTTGCAATTCATTTGGTACTGCTGGAAAACAAATGCCATTTCCAATGGAACAAGGTGGAACTTTACTTTCCATAAGGAATGTTTTGCATTGTTTGCAGATCCATTCCTTGTTACTTACAGTTTTTATCGATTTCACACACATTTGTATCAAGTTTTCTGGCACCCTTTGAGAACACATTTAAATTCCTCAACAGATTGTTTAAAGAATAATTGACTGCAACTGACACATACATATTCTGGTCCCTTAGATGTTAACAAATGAAAATCTGAAACAAACTTGTCAGGATCATTACATCGTTGTTTTTTGCGCTGGGAAAATACTCCTGTTCTCTTTTTGCGTTTATTTTCATTTATACTTGCATCATTACCTATTGGAGATTGAACAAAAGGTAGGTCAACTAGTTTTACAGCTATCAGGTCCTCACCTAAAGGTAAGCCAGTTCTCTCATTTACAGACATTGCTTTCTTACTCTTTACACAAATGTCATTTGGAATAGAGCAAATATTAACATCTGCTACTTTGTGTTCATAACGAAGTTTGAACTCAGACACTGTGTTAATTTTAATCACATGCAAATCATACTGTTCGTCTCTTCCGGTACCATTAACAACATGTCTTAAATAGAGACACAGTTCCTGTAGGTTTTTTTTTTTTAACAATTACACTTGTTCCATCAGGGGAAGATAAACCTTCTGCATTTCTGGCATGTGAATCAAAAACTACAAAAAATCCATTCTGATGTGAAATTGCAGTGGCGCTTTCTCTACAGAGAAAAATGCAAAACTGACACTCGTTTACCTCCCCTGAGAGTCCCATTGCAAGAGCCAGTTTAAGATTCACTAATGGATAATGTCCACTGAAATTCTCATTGATGCTTCCACTGTATGTTTTTTTTACTTTCCAGTTCATATATTTTTTATCTATTTGGATAAAAGGTGGTAAATCTTGTGGTTCAAGGAAAGACCTTAAAGACATAAGGGAATTTTTAGCAAAGTTGTAAACATAATCTCCTTGAACAAGTATTTCATCCAAATCTCTAGGGAACCACTCAAAAGATATAAAAGGTTTCATGTAAAGTCTAATAAGAAAAATGGTGCAGCAGGGTAAGCATTGTCGCCCACGAGATTCAGAGCTAAACAATTCATCACCTTGGTGGAATGATCCCTGGATTGGGAAATTTTCTGTTTTGGGTCCAGAATTTAATTCTACATCCCCACACAACAACAACAAGACTGACACAATTAAAAAAAACCTGCTAATCTGGGCTGTTAGATAAAATAGAAATGAAAATCTTTTATATAATCTGTTTCTCTTTAGGATCCCCTTGCTTTTGTGCTTAATGCTAATAAAACACCCAATTCTTGCACGCCATAATGTAACATCAATGCCCATTTTGACGGTTAATGTTCAAGAAATACCTTGATAAATTTTATTCTTTCTATAGAAAATATAGCAATTTCATATCAAAACCAATTGTCAATAATTGATCACTTTCCACAATAAAAAGATGAAATTCATATTCTATATATATTTCTCCAGAATATTAAGTTATTTAGCATTTTACAACTCCAGAAATAAATATCAACTCCAGTATACATAAAATTCAACTCCAGAGAATTCTTTGCATAAACATGATAAACTTTTTTTTAAACTCCAGTTCCTGTTTTACAAGAATATTCAACTCCAAAGATTTTCTATGTAATACAGTTTCAACTCCAGCTCATATGTTTTATCAAATTATGCAAAATTATTTTCAAAGCAGCAATTATAGATCAAATCAAAAGTTTAAATATCTGCTTCAAATTCTATAAATCACACCGAGCGTACTTTATACGCACTTTTCAAACAGTATTTCAAAATGATATGGGCCTGTGTTGCATAATTTAGGTTTATGGAAGAAATCGATTACCGAACGTCAATTTTTTTTAATTTACTTCGATAAACTAGCGCTAATTATGAATTTAAGAAAGCCCTACTTCTTACTCTACAGCTGTTTACGAACAACAAGTTAAATAGTCAAGTCGAACAATAAAATCTACAACACGGTCCATTGGCTTTGTTTACAAACAAAACGACCATGTGCGCGAGACAAACAGAATAAAAACACACAGCTTTATGTAAATAGAACGAGAAAATTTTAGGTAACGTACCTTTTCCACAGCTTTTTCGATGAGAACTTCTTGATTAGTATCAAATGTTGTTTTCCTTAGCTTTCACTGTATCAAACGTAGTTTTCCTTGGCTTTCACTGTAATCGACACCCAGACACGCTATTTCCCAGACATCACGTGACTACGCATCACAAACAACACGCAAAATAATCACCTACATTTCCCATTTACAACCACCAAATAAAGCGTACACGTACTTTTAAATATATTTGAACACCTCTTTTTTTATTTAACTAACACCAATAAAACTTTTACCCTTTCAAAAGGTTTGTAAGGGAAAATACCTTTATTTTGTATTCCTACGCACAAAAATCTGGCGCGAAAACGTCACCCAGACAGAGTTCTCTTTCTTTCTTTCATTCATACCTACATGGTGGCGCTGTTGAAAATAACACTCGGAAAGTATCCTTCCGCGTTTGAAAGAGTTTATTCAACATTAAGTTTATTTATTTAGTTAATCTTGTCTTTATTAGCAAAAATTTAAATGAAAACAACAGGGTAATAAATGAAAATTATAATGAGTAAATTTCAAAACAAGTACTAAAATAGAGTGAAAGAAGTGATGAGAACTATTTTATCTTGCTCCTGTTTACTAGAAGGAATAGTGAACTCTTTGCCGTAAAGATACACCACTGACTGGGAACTAAATGGCTTGACTTCGTAAGCCATAAAAAATATCAGTGCTGCATTTTTGTCACATTATTAAAACGTTGCTCCTTAAAAGACGATGATTACTATGCTGCTTTTTTTCAGCGATTGGGCTATCAGTCCAAAAGTGTCAACACAAATCGGTGTTGCAAGGAATCACTCCGGGGCTACGATTGTCGGGAAAATCTTCGGGGTGATCCGTGTTTCTGCGTGTCCTTTTGTGAGGTGACCCGCTCTGGCATATTTGCGGAGATCGGACGCACCACCTACACAGTGGTGGTACCCAAGGGGCAGATACACTTCCTAACATCAGGAAAGAGGATCCGATATTGTCAAAGTAAGTTTGTTTTTTTTTAATTGTCTTGTTAAATCTTTAAGAAAAGACTTATAAAAAAAATCTTGCATGTACAATTATCATAGATCCGCCACTGCTGCAGTTTCTGGATCAGGATATCTCTTTGTATCGAATTTAATTTATTAAGATGGAGGATGAGGTAAAAACGTCACGCAACTATCGATAGTTTTTTTTTTACATCTTTTACACAATGAACACAATTTTTTGTATGAAATTTATTATTTATTCCCCCGTAGAAAAGAAAGGAGGGGGCAGGTTTTAGAGGGTTTTTAAAACAAAAAAAGAAAATTGAGCAGAAGACGCGCAACTGTCAATTTATCTTTAACCCTTCTTAATTAGATGGAACAACACTCATTCAGATTCAAAATTCATTTGAAGTAAAAAAAAAAATACCATAGAATATATCATTTTTGTTATTGTTACACAATATACACATACGAGAAAAATTTGCATGATTGATAGGAAAAAGACATAAAAGGAGGAATAAACTACACATGAACATGGACACAAGTTTTGAGCTTGTATATATATATATATATATATATATATATATATATGTATGTATACATATATATATATATACCGGTATATCATGTAAGTGTAGTAGATGTATATCTTAATAACTCAAATAAAATAAATCTAAAACCTTTTTATAACTTAGAAGGTTGTAAGCTATTACAAGCATCCCTTCTAGATCCACCTTCACATTTTTACACAGACATTTCATTCATTGGTCATACACTTGAATTCTATTGGTCAAGAGGTTTTATATTGTTCAGAGCGAATATTACCAAGATTTTCAATCTTATACTCATGTAGACATATAGAAAGTTCTCTGGAAAATTTTATGTAAATATATTCCTTTTTTCTGACACAAATTCCTAGACAAAGATAGAGCCATCATCTTATCATCACTGATTTATAATTACATAGTTATTAGTCAGATGGGCTTGGCACCATAAAATCCATATCACTTGAATTATTTCTGCTGGGGATTTTCCCATTACATATATATGCATACTTGTATCATTTATGAAAGAACACTTTTTACATATTAACAGATAAACTTTAATTTTACTATTTTTTAACAGAAACAGAAATTACAACCACAGTTACCACACAGAATTTTGAGGGCAACTATCTCCCCTCGCCCGGCACCACCGCCACCAGTCAGACAGAAGAGGAGGAGACTGTCGCCCCCACACCCAGGGAGGGTGGTGGTGGTACGACAGACACCACCACTTCAACCGGAGAGAATAGTGGTGCCACCACCACCACTCAGATTACCACCTTTGAGGGTCCTTCGGGTCCCCTCTCCACCCCGTCCACCACAGAGGTGAATGGTACAATTACCCCTGAGAGCCCTAATATACTTACTGGACCCAAAACTACCTTAGTTATAGGTAATTTTTTATGCAACTGATACTCATCATCAAAATTAACTATCGAACTATATGACAAGCAATTCGGGCTTTCACTGATAAAGAGCAAAAGAATTGGCCAAAATTAATTCCTGGAATTCTAATGGCATTACGAAATTCGCAATGTACTCAATCTACAGACCACTTCCCCTATTATATGGCTTTTGGTCGTGAAATGAACCTGCCTTTTGATTTACGAGTAACACCTTAAGACTCTCTACAAGCGGACGCCAAAGAACATATTCAAGACATTCTAGAGAATTTAAAAATTACGCACGAGATTGCAAATGTAAATATAGCGGAGAAACAAGCGAAATCAGAAGAAAGATATGATGAACGCGCAAAAGAGCCTTCATTCAGATTAAACCAAATGGTTCTCTTACAGCAATTTAAAACTCCAGCAGGTAAATCGCCTAAGCTCATTGACAAATATGATGGTCCGTATTACATATCTGAGTTAGTATCTCTGGGGTATATAATGGCCGTGCGCGCTCTGACAACATCAGTTGCGGTTTTTCAATAATAAATTTGTAAAAGCGTACAACTTGTTATCTCCTAAGGTACGTGCATGTAAATTCAATCATCTTTATGTTAATCATATTTATATACTGTTAAAAACTTAACGCAACTAGACTGTACTATGTTGGAAAAAAAATGAATTGTTATAAATAATTTATTTCTTTTTCAGAATGTTTAATTTTGTAAAATTAATTTTTTTATTGATATATGAGTTGCAGTTTCTCAATAATAATTTGTAAAAGGGAACTTCTTTTCTTTTAAGGCTAATATCTTCAGAGGCTGAAAACAAGCAACGCCATCCCTCACTAAGCCAAGCGGGAATCCAAGCAACGCCATCCCTCAATAAGCCAAGCGGGAATCAAAGCAACGCCATCCCTCACTAAGCCAAGCGGGAATCCATGCAACGCCATCCCTCAATAAGACAAGCGGGAATCCAAGCAACGCCATCCCTCACTAAGCCAAGCGGGAATCCAAGCAACCCCATCCCTCAATAAGACAAGCGGGAATCCAAGCAACGCCATCCCTCAGTAAGCCAAGCGGGAATCCAAGCAACGCCAACCCTCAATAAGACAAGCGGGAATCCAAGCAACGCCATCCCTCAATAAGACAAGCGGGAATCCAAGCAACGCCATCCCTCAATAAGCCAAGCGGGAATCCAAGCAACGCCATCCCTCAATAAGCCAGGCGGGAATCCAAGTAACGCCATCCTTCAATAAGCCAAGCGGGAATCCAACTCAAATAAAAACATATCAAAATCAACTACAACACTAGTACAAAGTTGTAATGTACAGAGAGATCTCCTTGACTGAGGAAATCAACACGGGATTCCGTTATAAAACATCAGGATAAAGAAGAAATAGAGGTCTGGTGTCAGTGATGTATAGATTGGTGTAACAGAAATCTGTCACAGTGTCTGGTGTTAGTCGGCGTCATCACATTTCCTGTGTTTTATCAGACAGAAATTTGAACGAAAGATAGCTGAACTTTTATTTTTCGGTCTTAATATGCTCAGTCTTCCCATGGAGCGTATAAAGTATTTTATTTTCACAACCATCGGGGCTTTATTTAGGCCTCTCACTCCCTAGTTAGAGGACACGATAAAAAAAAAAACATTCTTCAAGAAGAAACGTTAGAGCCCACTGGTATCAGGAGATTCATGAAGATATATGTGACTTTGAAATTTCCATTTTATTATGGTAAAATTTTGCATAAAAACAATTATAAGAAATAACTAGTCGGTTTGTTATAAAAAGCTAATAATTTCAATTTTTCTTTCCATACTTTTATACGAATGTGCACATTTATGTGTGCAGTAGTAGTATATAACTGCTGCACACGCGTACCTTATCTATACATGTGCATCCGGGGAGTGCTTGTAATACAATTGACGTTATTTCAAGACCTCCAAAACTCTACCAATGGAGATACTTGTTAAAAAATTGACTGAAATTGATACTGTAGACCCGACTTTTCCTTTTGGGGATTGACCAAATTCGATCTATGCTATGTTGGGACTTAGGATAAAAACGACAAAAAGAAACAGGAAAAGGGCAATGCAGAGCAAATATGCCACCTGGGCAAATACTACTGGAAAGTATTTATTAACAAAAGAAGGGATAAGTGTATCTAGGAGAACACAGAGAGACCGCTATTGAGAAACCACGAGAGTCTGTGGACCCTGTTTTCCCTCCCCTGAACTGGACGAGTGATTTGGAATCGTGACTTTTTTCCTTGAAAAATTGTGGCGATCTTTGATTATTAAACTTTAAAAAGACTTTTAATTTATATCCTTTGGAATTTATTTATTAAACAAAACACTATGCTGGCATTATTATTTTGATTACTTGTGAAATACAATTAATTTGGTAAAGTGTTGGATGATGTTGTCTTTATTCTTGCTCTACTCCATTACAATATTCCTAACTTTTTTTTTTTTACAATTACTATTACAACTTTTTTTCGTACAAAGTATTTTCAAAATTAATTTAACTCTCAAATCATTCATATTTCAACGCTATACAGATTCTTCCATATAATTTGGATGTTCTTCATTTTCACAATAATTCCATTACAGGTAGCACCCACTGGTATCATGTGCCAGCATGGTCAGATACCAGGAGATTAACGGTAGAGTAAATAACTAATTTTTGTGAATTATCATCCCGGACTGACCAATTACCTACTGATATTCATTTTATTTTAGCCCCGATTTATTAAAAAAAAAAAAAAAAAAAAAAACTTGGGGGTGGTGTGCTAAACCAGCTTCATACCTCCAAATTATCAGAATCTACTTACTGACGCGTCCGACCCTCAGAAACGCAACCGTTGAGGAAAATGTGTCGGGAAATTGTTCCAGGATAAAGGCATATCAAAAGACACTCAAACAATATTATTTTCATCTTGGCGAGAATCAACAAAGAAACAATATAGGCCATATATCGAAAAGTGGGTGTTACTTTGTCATAAAAGAAATATTAATATTTTTGAAACAAATTAAACAATGCCGTAACATATTTGAACGATTTATACAATGCTGGTCTAAGATACAGTGGTCCTAGTGCCTTGTCATCTT